TTTCCTAGCAAACCTCTTATATGTTATGTCTTTTGTGTTACAAAATAATTAATCATTTAAAATATGAAATTATAATTTATATACCATGCTTCAGACTTTGAACGGATTCCGTTTTCTAATATAATTCACTAAAAATACTATAACAAACTTATCAAAAATCACCTGCGTTGCAAAATAAAAACTAGATATTTAAAAAACAATATAATCAAAAATCCTACTTACTGAAAGCAACTTGTAATGAAAAAAACTGCTAAAAAAATCTATAAAATAAAGAAATAAATTCAAAATCTATATTATTAACAAAAAAATAATATCTGAAAGCAGCCCTAAAGTAAAAACCTAATCTAAATAAAGGAATATCATTAAAAAATTAAAAATTAAAAAAAAATAATATCACTTATCCAAAGCAAATAATAAAACAAAAAACTTTACAATTCTATTTATTTGGAAACAATCCTAAAATGAAAACACAAACTAAAAAAAAATAATAAAAAATAATATTATTTATTTGAAACAAATAATAAAATAAGAGAATACCTAAAAAAATCCTAATTTTACTTATTTAAAAGCAGATCCGAAGTAAACCTAATCTAAAAAAATGATTTATTAAAAATGAAAGCTAAAATAAAAAGAACAAATCACTACTTGACTCTAAAGGAAAAACCTGATTTAAAAAAAAAATTGAAAAAAATAAAATTTTACTTACCCAAATCGGTCTGAAGCAAAAAACCATCAAATAATCTAAAAAAATTTAATAAAAATGAAAAAAGGATTAATAAAATCAAAAAAAAATAATATAATAATTACCACTTATATAAAGCAACTCAAGTGAAAAAACTAAAGCGCAAGATCTAAAAAATAAATTAATAAAAAAATAATATAATTATTCTCAGCAGTCTAAGCGAAAACTAAAGAATAATAATTAATAAATGAAAACACTAATACTGAATCATTTGAATCATTAAAAAACAAAACAAAAATATAAAATCATAATCTTACTTATCTGAAAGCAGTAAACTATCCAAATAAAAAAAATTAATAATAAAAATAAAATACTAAAAAAAAACTAATAAAAATGAAAACCACTTACCTAAAACAACTTACAACCTAAAAAAGAAAGATTTATTAATAAGCAAAAAAATACAAATCAATATTGATGGAAAAAAAGAAATTTACTTATCAAATATATCTGAAAGCAGTCTAAAGTAAAAAACTATCCAAAGTCTAAAGTGATAAACTGATTTAAAAAAAAGAAAAAATTATTAACGAATGAAAATAAAACACAAAGGTGACTATTTCAATATTAATAACTTATAAATATGACAAATTTTTCATAAACTTAATAGTAAATTAAATATATCTTTATTATAAACTTATTTCCTTTTTTTATACTTTTACTTATCTGATTTAAATAAAATAAATTTAAACTTATCAAACTATATAATTTTATTTTATAAAAAAAATTAAATATTAAAATAACAAAAAAGATAAAAATAAAGTTTATATAAAATTGTTACATTATCAAACTAAAAAACTGAAATTGATTGATCTTATTATTTATTTTTTATTATTTTTAATAATAGACTGATATGCAGAAATTTAAATTAATTTTTTATTATAAGTATTATTTAGACTATTATTATAAACTTAATAAGGCTGGTTTTTTTTATTAGTAATTTTTATTTATGTTATAATATAAAAATTAAAAAATATTGAAATATTGTAACATTCTGAATCATTCAAGATGAAAAAGAATAAAAATTAATGATTTATTATTTAGATGTTAATGAATCATTACAATGTATTTTTTGATTATTTTAAAGTTTTTTTTTTTAAAAAAATGAATAAGTTTCTAATATAAAATAAAAAAGCTTTTATTTATTTACAATAAATAAAATTAAAAGAAAATATTATATTATTTTTTAAACTTTTTTTATATAAGGTAAATCCTTAGATTTTTTAATATAGATACAATTTCAGGAGTTAATTCTTCTTATTCCTGAATTTCTTCAGAAATTTTTTTAGAAATTTCCATTAAAGTCTTGGCTATTACAAATATTTTTGTTATAATATCTGATAATTTTGTTAATTTAGTGTGCTTAAACTTTGTTTAATAGCCATTTTTAATAAAAAAATTTATCTGATATTTTTTCTCTATACTCAGAAATATAAAGAATTATTGAAAATTATGCAGGTATTTGAATTTATTTTTTAAAAATGGTAAGTTATTTTGTAAAAAAAAAATGAAATTTTTAATAAATTATTTTTTGTGAATAAAAATGACTTTTATATTTGCTTATTTATAACAAAATTTTTTTTTTAATATGTATTTAACTAATTGTTTATTTATAAATTTATAATCACAATATAAATTTATAATTTGATTATATATAAAAAAAAATAATTTGAATTTTAGAAAAAAAATGCCTTTAAAATAAATATACATCAATATTATAATAAATTATTATTATTTAATTGATCGATTTTATTATAACTAAAAAAATTTTTTAAAAGATGAATTAAAATTTATTAATAATATCTATATATGTAATTTAAAAAAAAATGCTAATAATACTTTAAGAATTTAACCAATCAAAAAAGTAAGCCTTTTCCTTGATTAAGCAAAGTATCAAGTCAAGTATATTTGTAAGCTTTTCTTTATTTTCTTCAAAATATATGATTTTAATTTTGCTTTTGATGTTTTGATGTAATTTTAATTTTAACTTTTGAAATAGTTTTCTTTAAAATATGAGCAATAGTAATTTTTGTTAGTAATATAAAGAAATCTGAAATCATAATGATTATAATAAAAAATTATTTTGGTTTTTTTTTGATCTACAAAATTAAAATTCTTTTCTTAAAAAAAGTTAATTTATGATCCTTAAATTTAATATGACTTGAAAGTATCACAGAAGTGATTCTTTTACAATAATTTCAAAAAAGCTATAGGATTATTATAATATAAATACAATATACTTATATATATGCATATTGAATATACATATATGTATATATATTATACAATGCAAGTAAATTACTCATATCACAAATTTCTAATTCGAAATATTTATTAATTAATCTATGTTGATTTATATAACATATGGGAGGTTTGCTAGAAAAATAGGGCTCTAAGCATTTTTTATTAAATTTTAATATATGTTGCATTTTAATCTAACATTATCAAAAATTAAAATGCAATAAAATTAAAATTTTAATAAAAATTTCTCAAAGACCCATTTTCCTAGCAAACCTCTCATATATCTCAATTAAATAAAAAATTTAGTAAATTTAGTAATACATTTTTTTTTAAAAATGTAATAAATGGTTAGTAAAAATAAAATTTCATAAAAGTATTATGATCGAACTAATAATATACTCACAAATTGGCAGGAAGAAATTTGTAATCATTTATACTCTGCGTCATTAGTTTAACTTCAAATGTATTGAATTTTATTTAATATTTAATTAACCTCTTCAATAATAGGTTTTATTGGGATCATCATCTTAACATTTCTGATAAAGTTTTTGACAGATTAATCACATGATGATTTTTTACCTCTTTTAAATTTGGGATCCTTGTAATAATTTCAATTTTCCATTCCTAGCGACCATTAATTAGAAAAAACAATCAATCAATCTGTTACCTAATCTTTATATATAATATCATCTTTATGTAAACACATTTATTCATTTAGTGATATAAAATAATATTAAAATCTTTTCTTTTCATTGTAGCTATTTATATCTTTCTTTATTTCTAATTAATCTCTAAGTTATTCACTGACATATTTTATTCTTAACTATCTATCAACATTTATTGATTTGAAGAAATCATGCTGAAGTTAAGTTATATAATAAAATGACATTAACACAAACGGTTATATTCCAAACGATTGATATTTGAATGATAATGAAATTTACAAATTGGTTCAACTAGGGAATTATTCTCATGATGTCACGAGCTTGAATGCAATTTTTTTTTGTTTCAAAAGCACTTGTTCTCATTCATTTATATTTCTTTGAAAAGGTAATGATTTTCATCCATTTTAATCATCAAGAGACTTTTCAATGAAACATGAATCCCTCTACTAGGCAAAATCTGCTTTATTCATGACACTGAATTCTCCTCTACCTATTTTAATAATATTTTGAAGTTTACCTATTTGTCAATCCATTCTTTTATTTGATTATTTGGAAATTTTTAAAATCTGTTGCAGATCAAATTTATTCGATAAGCAGGTTATCCCCCCCCCATCTTTATTATAGAAAATGTTAAATAAATTTGATTGATTGATCGCATCAGTAAAAGGATGGTAAAATACCCAATATGAAAAGAAAAATAATAAGTTAGTCTTCATAATGTTTTTGTGCTAAGGGTGAATCTACAATTTTATAAAATATTGTCAATAGCAGTTCTTTGATGTTTATGGGTTATAAACAGAGTTTTAAGGTAAGCAGAAGGTATTGTGTTTATAATCTTAATTCTAATATAATACAACATAGATATCGTATTGCCTGCAATGTCGGCGCTCTATACAATCAGGTATGTTTATTAATTATATCTTTCGGAGTTATTATAAAAAAAATGTAAAAGGGAAATAATGGATAACGATATCTTCGTGTTTAGTGAATTATCGGACTTTTCAAGGATTGAATGATATATTTATTATTGCGAATGTAAATTGTATTAACTGTTGTAATTATTGTTAAATTTTATTAAAGAAAAGTTCCACCATTTTATATACATGAATTTTAACAGGACATTTTTGTCCAGGAAACTAATTTGGCCAGACTAATTTGGCCGGAGAACAATTATGGCCAGTGAACAATATTGGCCCAAATGATCTTCATTGCGCTAACTTAATGATCGCTAGCCGAATTTCTTATACATATAATAAAAAATAAAATAATAATAATAAATGCTAGTAGATGTAAAATAACAATAAAAAAATAATACTAATAAATAATAATAGAAATATAAAATAAAAAAACAAGACCATCTACCTTGAATATCCTGCATTGCCCATTTCTCCTTCTTTGTAATAATATATACATTATTAATGTAACAATATCTGAATCAATCCACATCATCATACTGGTATTACACCCATCTTTGATCTCTGCCTTGCAAATAGGCTGTTTGCCGACTATAGGATACTCGTCACCGACTTCCCTCTCATGATGATTATCAACTTATTATCCTTCACGCATTTTCTGATCAAATGTCCATGATGTATCTTTATTATGTTTATGATGTCGCAGAAGTTTCGACTGAAATAGAAAAAGAAATTATTAGAAAACCAAAATCTGAAAGCGTTCGATATTGACTTTACTTTTTATTTTTTCATGAAGAGCCAACTTGTTTGATAAATTTGCCATGTTCTTATTTTTAGTGAGTGCGCCAAACACCAATATAATCTAAAATCATTGTCTTGACTTTCCATATATTCGATAATTTTCTTTTTGTCACGAGAAAAGAATAGAAGTGTTTACAAATATTCTAACTAATTGACGATATTTACAAATGGATCAGACTTTTATAGAATCATTCATCATTGTCATGATTTGTACTTAATATTTAATCTTTAGCGCATCAGTATTTCATATTTTTTCTTATTCATATATAAGTGATTTAATCGGGATTTTTGTCATGTACCCATTAACGGCAAACCTCTAAAATAGACTAACGAGTTTGTCGATCATCTTTAAACCACAATAATTTTTTTACATTTAGGTATTGCAACATATTATGGGCAGACTTAGTTTTTAAAAGAATAAAATTATGATGTTATTGACTAGGAAATGATCCGAATGTAAAAATTTTACGTAGTTGTCGTGTCACTCGTTTCAATGAATTAATCACAACCTTTATTTATATGAATTTAGTATAGAGAGTTGATATCATATTTCAACCAGAGGACATATTATCGTTATTCAAGATAGTTTATATAAAACAATTTAGCAAACATATCAGGAAAAATAGAAAAGTTAAAATTTACTATCGACCTTGATCATATTTTCCGGTTAAATTAGATCGTAAAATTGTTCCATATAATTCGCCTTATTAAAAATTTATTGAAATATTAACATGCGGGAGAAATTAGTTTCAGGAAATGAAAGAGTGAAGTATATTAAATTCCTGCAACGATTTAGAAATAATAAAACAAATATTTATCTGAAAATAGGATAGATTTATGAAGTCGGATGAGGCAATAAGTTTATATAATTTAAAGTAGATAAATCAATGGGCGCTTTGCAATGTTAAGGTACGAAACTCTAAAAAAATATTTTTTTGAATAAATGTTTTTCTGGACTTATTTTACTAAAAAAAACATATTTAGCATATATAGTAAAAATTTAATATTTTTGTAGTTTCGTACCTTTCTATTGCATAACGCTCAAATAATCCTCCAATTAATTCATTGATTACTTATGTTTCAGATTTTAAAACTTCTTTCACAAATGCCAAACATTTATAACGAAGGCTTAATAAAAAATTTTATTTAAACTTGATGGTAAAGAAATTTACCATAACAATTGAGTTTATGAAACCAATTACTTTATAATGCATTATATAATATCTATAATAATTTTATATGATTACTTTTTAAATTAATTATAATTACCATTATATTCACTTCCCAAATTTCCAGAAATTCTTAATGTTTGCTTTTCCTTTCCTTTTTTATACAATCTATAAAGTAACATTCCTATACCAATAAGAAATGTGGTTCCTACAATACTACTAATGACAGAAATGACTATTTTCGTCGTTGTTAAATCTTTGGAAGAATTAGGTGAATTGTATGAATTAGGTGAATTAGAAGGTATTTGAGATTTGGTAGGGTTAGGTTTTGGCTTTTGTTCAAGATGTTCAAATTTATTAATCCAAGTGTAGTTTCTGATATCCAACAAATAAAGTTTTGAATTTCCGCCTTTTGTAGAAGCTTTATCTATTTGAGTAATAATTCCTATATAATTAACAATGATTAGAATTGGTTATTTATTTAATATTTTTAATCACTTTATTTTATAATGGCATGATCATTACCGAAAGCAACGATCATATAATTTTCGACTAAAGTTGCTTTATGTCTTGCAAGTGTTGGAATTTCTTCAATATTTGAAGATATTTGCGGTATAGTCCATTCAAATGAAGTTGATTGTGTGGTTAAGACTGCTATGTTTGGAGCAACCAGAACACGTTCAAACACACCAGCCCCACCACAGATTATAATTTGATCATTTGGAGCTAAATACAGTATTTATAAATATTAAATAACGTTAAATAAAATAATATATACATAAAATTAAATATTTTTAAAATTTTGATACCTAAAACGGCAGTATGTGAATAACGGGATTCTACCGTATTAATATTTTTTGCAATCTGTTAAATAAGAAATTTTAATTATTTATGATTTCATAATGTATTGTTAGAAATTTTAGTAGATACCATCACTTTCCAAGAATCCAACTTTGTATCATAAAGATTGATTTCATTAATGTTTGCAGTTCTAAGATTCAAATCAATTCCCCCTATATATACAATAACTCCATTTGATAATAATGTTGCAGTATAAGCGAATAATGATTTAGGAGCATTGAAAGTGGTTCCGTATGACCAAGTCAAGATATTTGTATCAAAGATAATCATATCATTAAAATAAGTGAATGGTCTTGCAAAATCATTTGAGCCTCCAAAAATATAAATTTTTCCAGAACTATCATTGACTGCTTCAATATCCCTACGTCTTGTTGGTATTTGGCCTTTGGTTTGTGGTATATCCCATTTAAATGTTTGAGGATCAAATGTATATACAAATGATATAAATGAGTCTATTAATGAAACTGGGTCGAACATAAATCCACCAAATAAATAAATAGAAGGATTGTTGTTAACGATGGTCGATGAAACAGTAGCAAATATACTTCCGAATGGGATTGCCGCTGATGGTGTTTCAATCCATGGAGGATTTTCAGAATTAAACGATTGAGATACATCAAGATAAAATGTTTCATTTGAAATAGTATACGGTTGTCCACCGAAAAAGTAAAGAGCATTTCCTACAAGAACTGACGAGAAAGCATCACGTGCAATAGGAGTAAATGAATAAACTTCTTTAATAGATATTCCTAAAATTAGGGCATAATAAAGATGCAAAATTGACTTAAAAAATAAATAATTTAAAGAAATCATTTTTTTTTTTTTTTGAAACAATTTGACGAGATTTAAATAAATATATCGGGTAAATTTTGGTACAACTGTTATTGAATGGATAAATTAATAATTTAAAAACTTTAAATTTTAGCGATAGGCCTTAACCTATAAACTTTCTGTTCGGGTATTTCCTACAACCTTATAATTTGACAAGCATAAAAAAATTATACTTCAATAATTCAATCATAAAGAAGCTTAATAGCCCTTAAATAACGAAGCTTCATTTGTTTTAATTGCTTTTTCGATTTGTAGACATTAGAGCGGGCGGGTCCGTCGAAAATAAAATAACACTATTTCAATGGATAGTCACTACATGAATATTTATTATCCTGAAATTGTAATACGTAAACTAGGTCATAAAATACCTGATGTTACACTATTCATTTTAACTGTCCGCTTTTTTAATAAAACTAAATTACATAGCGATAGTAATTCAACAAAGGGTAAAAAGCGGACATTAATTTTGCATATGTAATATATTGCGCCTGAATTAGGTTGCAGGGAATCACCAAAATCCCAAAACTTTTCGAGCGGATTTTCAACACGATTTCAATTTACGAAGAGCATTTCTATTTTTGAAAGTAATTGGAAAAATTACTATTAAAGGTTTCTACCCGCCGAAAGCGTCGAAAATTTTACCATCCAACGAAACTTTTGCCACCCGCCAACACTTTCGCGTTTTTGCCTTTAAAAAAAAAAATTGATTTTTGGAAGAGCGTTAAAAATAATTTCGATTTGCCACTTGTCGAAACCTCGGGATTTGCCAGGCAACCATAGCCTAATGTGACTGATAAATTTTGTGATATGTTCAAAAATTATGAAAAAAGTTGTAAGTTCAATAAATTTATTTTTTTTTTATGGTGATTAATATCTAAGTTTAAGGTAAATTGGAGACTCCAAAAGAATAATGACAACGAAAACTCGGTATATAAGGAGAGTTACACACATCAATCGAGTTGCGGCGCAGTTAGTCCACTTTTCTTTCCAACAGCTTTTTACTCTAACACAAAATCCAACTCTTTTGGGCTTTAGACGCTATTCACCATCTTTCGAGATGATCTATAATTACAGCTGCAATTGCAAAGAGGATATAAGGAACATATTTTGCAATATGAACGACCTATTCGAACTTCGATATCTGTATACATTGGATTGGTAGTTGTATTGATTATATACAAAATCAATTTTATTTGCAATGAATGCTTCTGTACTGTATAAATAAATTTTTGGGTTTTTTTTTATCGAGAAAAAACCGCATAAAAAAAATTAAAACCAAACTGATAAAACTAAATGAATCAAGCCAAATTATACGAAATCCCTATAAAACAATTAAAATTAAAAAAAAAATACAAAAATTTCCATAATTAATGGTAATATTCTTGTTGAATCAGCCCAAATACATAAAATTCCCTTTATTCTTTTGTAGGTAATTCATACACGAAAATTTCTTTTAGAAATAAATGTAGCCAATTATTGAAACATGCATAAATTGATTATCATCCGCCTTGGAATGAGCAATATTTGAACGAAATGGCTATATAATTTAAATCTTCGCAAGTCTGTTCATCAACTTTCGCTCTTAATTCATCAAAAAAATCTTCGCAGTATTTATTCTCTTCTTAGGTAATTCTTTCATAATCATCGGTTGTGAATACACAATTAACGCCTTACCAATCTTTTCTTGGTAAATTGGTGTCCTAATATCACTCGACATTCTTGATTCAACAAGAACTTTGCATCTGTAAAAGAATCTGAATATAAATTTAAGGGGGATTTATGTAATCGTAATTATTGATGCTCTCATTTATGGTTCAACTTGCATATTATTTTATATCAAATCTTTAAATTTCGAAAGAAGGGAGAGCTATGAATTCGCTAAAGGTGACCTTTCGAGATGAATTGTAATTCTGAAAGTTCTGAAAGTTAACCCTATAAAAAATTTTCGCTCGAATATTTCCATTATTTCTCCGTGGCTTATTTAAAATTTCCGTGAAAATGAGCCTTTTACAGAATCCGTATAAATGATAAGATTATAAATTCCGTGAAAATCAGCCCTTCACGGAAATAAACATGGAAAACAAAACACGAGATCAAGTTCAACTTTTTTTCTTATAAGAAAAAAACAAGAAGCCTTTAAAGATAATGAAGACAATAATTTTCATATAATTTATTCGGATTCATGGCATGTTAAGAAGAGGAGTGGCAAAGCAAAATTTGAAATTGTACCTGATAAAGAAAAAAATGGTTCGCCAATGAGGCCCAAATCACAAAACTTTTACATCTTATCCAACGTTAGGAAAATTACACAGCTTTAATAACAAAAAAAAAAAATTATTTAATTTATAAAATTGTAAATATTCCGATACTTACAGTTTTTATACATGACGCGAAATTTTTTTAAAATGATTTCAAACAAATTTTTTTTTTTCAACGGCTTTTTTTTTTGTCAGTCGCACAAAAAACTTGTTTAACATTGATCAGCGTAATACAAATTGCTTAGCTACTTAATTCGTATTCGATTGACAATATTTCTTTTTCTCATGAGAATACGCCAAAAAATAAAAATAAAAATAATAAATTCACCTTTTTCAAAATGAATTCAATATTTCATTCTGGTCTTTCAAAAGATCTTTCTTTGATATTAAACGATTCCGATGATTTTAATGTTATCATTCAAGCAGGTGAAAATCAAAATACAAAAGAATTTAGAGCGCATTCAGTTATTTTACGTGCACGCTCTCCATATTTTAAGAGAGCTTTTTCTTCTAATTGGATTACAAAAAAGAATAATATGATCATGTTCAATAAACCAAACGTCACCCCAATCGTTTTTGAAATGATTCTCAAGTAATGTGTGATACAATTTCGTTTAATTATAATCGAACGAAAATAATTTTATTTTATTTTTATTTTAATTTATTCATTTATTTATTTATTTATTAAAAAAAAGATATATTTACGTAGGTGAACTGGACTTAGCCAAAAAGTCAGGTGAAGACATGCTTGGATTGTTATTTGCATCTGATGAATTGCTCCTTGAGGAATTATTCGAATATATCCAAGATTACATGCTTAAAGAATACCATGGTTGGATTAAACAAAATTTAGTCTTAGTATCTAATGCTGCATTTAAACTTTCTAGTAAGAAATTGCAAGATTATTGTATTGATTCAATTTGCGCAAACCCACAATCATTTATCACATCGAAAAACTTTCCATCACTTGACAAAGGTATCCTTTTTTTATTGCTTGAAAATGTTGAATTGGTAATCAAAGAAATTGAAATTTGGAATGGATTAATCAAATGGGGTATTGAACAGACACCAGGATTGGGAAGTATGAACGATAATATAAATAAATGGAATCAGGAAGATTTTGAAGCATTGAAGACGACTTTAAGTCAATTTATACCCCTTATTCGATTTATGGAAATTACTCGTGCCGAGTTTTATGATAAAGTTCGTCCTTATAAAGATATTATCCCTAAAAATATTTATGAAGAAATTAAAGAATTTTATTATAAAAATACCTTACCGAAATCGATAACTTTACTGCCTCTAAGACGTGCATCAACAATCATAAAACCACAACTTATAACGATTTTAGCCAATTGGATCGATGGAAAGGATTCAAATGTTCTTTCATATAATAACAATTATAGATTTGATTTGATTTATTTAAAAAGTCGAGATGGATTTGATTGTATGTCATTTAATAATCAATGTAAAGAACAGGGTCCATTCGTAGCGTTGGTAAGGGTTGACTCCAAAAAAATATATGGAGGTTATAATTCTGTCGGTTATGCATTAAGAGGTGGAAGTTGGTTATCATCTTCAACTAGTTTTATCTTTTCTTTTGAAAATGATCAAGATATAATTACTATGAAAATTGGTAGAGTGAACCATGAAAATAAATGTATATATGAGAATTATCATTGTATATTCTTTAATTTTGGAAGTCAATTGATTGTTAATCGTTATGGATCTGGATGTGATCTTCATCTTAATAACATATATGATGGATTTGTTGATATCTTTAAGTGCTCAAATAAATTATCGATTGAAGAAATTGAAGTTCTTGGTGTGGTTAAAAAATAATTCTTTTTTACATGGCAAAGAATTTATCCATTGAAGATTTTCCATAGTAAATTAATTTATTAGTACCTTAGATTTCTCCCCTTACATATGTTTAGTAGTATAATTCATTCATTTTTATAAAATTTGATTCCGAATAAAATTTTTATGTAAATACATATGGTTCTTTGACTTCAAAATTCAACATTTCAGTAAGAACGATTCTAGTATTCCATCATCAATTATCCACGCTCAATTTAATTGCATTTAGGATATGCGACTGCAAAAGTATGTACCCGATAACAAGCAGGTTAGTTAAAGCTTATCCTCGTGCTTCGTGATTTGGAAACATAGAAACACACAGCCTCAAGAGGAACATCCCTCTAAGAGACCAAAAAGAAATACAAAAGGAGTACAATGATTTGTCATTGTCCTGATTAACATCACAAGACCAGCAAGTACCGAAATACGAAAAAATGTAAGAAACAAATAATCCATTATTCAAAATTACAAAAGTTTTCGTAGTTTGCGGATATGGCAGATTCTCTTCAACTTCGATTGCCGAAACACGAAATCTATTTTGGTTATCTATGTCTCATGATTCGTGTTTAAGTAATTGACGCGATTAATATTTAACGCGTTGAATATCTCCCTCGATTTTTCTCCATCTTTTTTATTAAACATCATTTTATTATTGCAACACGTGAAACAAAAATCAAATTTGAGATCAAAGATTCATGATTGAGATTGTTGATCGCGTGATTGATCAAAACCGCCGGGAAAATCAATCATATAAAATGTAATATAGATTTTTCCTAGCGGTTTCTCCCCATATAATAATATCTTTTTTTTTATTACTTATTGTGACGTTTCAAAATCTAAATATACCACTCTTTTTTTTAAAGAAAAAAGTTGTGATTTCTAAATATTTATTAAAAGATTTTCTTTTATAAAATTTCAATCCTATATAATAAATAACTTAGATAAAATACGCTAAAAAATTATTAAAGAAATAGTCGCTTCTGGATTTCACGAGTTATGTGTTAAATAACTTTGAAGCCTGTGATGCGTGATGCGAAAAGTATATACAAAGAAATTTATAAATTTTGAATTTAATGGTTTTTAATTGAATCCACACCTGACTGAGGAATTGTTAAGAGGCAAGAATTATAATCGAAACTAGTTAAGTCTTACCATAGAGGTTCTTGTGTAGGTTGTAGTTTAATCGAGTTTCTGATAATTTTTTCTTTCTTGCTTACTAAGATGAACTCGGCTAAAAAAAGAATCAGAGAGACGGAAGTAAATTTTTTTAATTTGTTTAATGTTTATCGATCCTGGAGGAGGAATTGATTATGTACTTTCCTTAATTTTACCTTCTTATAGAAAACCTTTATAATTAATGTATGATTTATAATGCGGATATCAAGCTGACATGGAAAGATATACCCAAACTCAGAAAAATAGTATCATCCTCCGAGAAATTCAATATAAGTCAAAATCTGAGCGTTAAAGAAACTTGCAACATACCTATCTAACACGAGAGAGTAGCAAAATCATTAGCATTATCTAACCGAAGAAAATTTATCTTTAAGGGCTTGGGCCAATATATATTCTTTAGCCAAAGTTCGTGTCATTGCGCTATACACTTTTTAATCCAGCTATCAGACATGATTTAATCACATGATTTAATGTCTTGGACTAACATTTATACTATGCTAAAAAAAAATAATAATGATAAAAGAAAACATAATATAATAAATGAAATATTTACCGCGAAATCAGAGGGATCACGGCGGAGCCGTGATCCCTGTGATATCGGCGATTTAGCGGTAAATAAATGCTATTATTAATTGATTTTCCTTTTTTTTAAAATGAAATATATCGAAACTCACATTTTGTCGAGTGTTTAAATGATATAGTGTCTAACCATTATTTTTGGGCTCCGAAATAATATTGTAATTTAAAATTGTAAACAACTAAACAACAATACATCGATCGTCTTCTGTTCAAATTAAAATAACTTTCTTGAAATTCATTAATTCTGATTTTTTTTATTGATATCTATAAATGGATAATATTCATTTTGCTTTGAATAGTCTCATCTCGTAAAGTTTTATAAAAAATTATTATTTAGAAAAGAATTCGCTTTATTGAATTAATATGAAAATATTTAGATAAAAATAAAAAAATATCGCTAAGGAACGGGGACCGTTGCTAAGTGTAATGAAAGTAACCTATCACGTATTAACTCAATTTTTGAGCGGTGTTACGCGTTCGGATTTACTAATTTACCCCCAGGCTCTGATTAGCTGGTATAATTGAGGGTTAGGGCTTAGGTGATTTATCACCAGCGTGACACCGGTAGTGTTCAAGTATTTGGGAGACAGAGAATTTTTTTTGGGTGTGATGATTATTTGTCACCCCCCCACAGTACGTGACAAATAATAGGTGTTCTAGACAATATGTACCGTTATTGTAATTGAGCAGGTTTTCAAAATTTCTAATATGACACTATTATATGTCAACAAATATTTTTTATTTTAATAGTTATATAATAAAATTACAAATTATAATTATGGATGATAAGAATGAATTCAAAATAGAATTTGCTGCTTTTTCTCTGATATTGTAAATCTTTATTTTTACTTTTTTTTTACTTTCAAATTTCTTTTTTTCTCTGAATTTTTGGCGGATTTTCTAAAGTTTTATACTTTCATTACCTGGACCTGCAAGAATGATTCTTGATTCCTGTAATTTCTTACTCATATTTGGATGCACTTTTATATCATATCGGTTAAACATTCCCACTAATTATTGCTGGTGTATAACAATTGACCAAATTCGATATTTAATAAAAGAGTATACCATAGAAAACTTCCAATATTCATTAAAACTTAAATTTGAAAAACCTTCAAATTCTTTAAAAAAAGTTTTGTTCTTGAAGTCCTTCCATTAATCCAAAGGTATTTACAATATTATTTTATAAATTACTTCTAAAAATTCAATATAAGAATCTTCACACCAAGAAAAATTAGAATACTTTTTGGAAAAAAAAAAAAATAATAAAAATGCATATGTAAATTCTTGTTCATGATTGCTTTCTAATTGACAAATGCTTAAAGATAAATGAATCTATGATGACATCCATTTAAGAAATCCATTTAAAGCTTTATTAAAATCTAATTGAAAAGCTTCTTAAATCTTATTTGATTTCTAAATTTAAAAATATATTACTTTCAATTAGTTTTTGAAATATTTCATATATATTATTTGTAATATTTTGAGTTTAGCTATTCAAATTATTACTTAATCAGGCATTTCATAAACACAACTTTATGTAAAAGAGTTAAAATACCATCTGAATTATAAATTCGTAATATTGGATCATAACTAATAAGAAATTCATAAATAGGTTAAAAAACATCTCTTCAAATTTAACAATATATTGTAATTGAAGATTAAGTTTAATATTATTTAATATGAATAGAATATTTTTCATTTTCAATATATTTTGTAACGTTTTTTTTAATAGTATATGGGAGGTTTGCTAGGAAAATAGGGCTAGGAAAATGGGGTTCTGAGACTAAAAATTTTTTTTGAATAAATTAAAAAATCAAAATAAACAAAAAACTAACTTTAAATTTGAGGTGATCTATTTTTAGGTCATGTGATATATATCATATGATATAAATTATTAGCTAAATACTTTTT